ATGAAGCAAAAATAGCTGTTTTTCTGGAATTCTCCTGCTTTTTCTATGTTCCAACAGATGTTGGCAACTTGATCTCTGGTTCCTCTGTCTTTTCTAAAACCAGCTTGAACATCTGGAAGTTCACAGTTCACGTACTGTTGAAGACTGGCTTGGAGAATTTTGTGCTTTACTTTGCTAGCATGTGAAATGAGTACAGTTGTGCAGTAGTTTGAATATTCTTTGGCATTGCCCTTCCAGTCCTATGGCCACTGCTGAGCTTTCCAAATTGGCTGGAATATTGAGTGCAGCACTTTCACAGCATCATCTTTTAGGATTTGAAATAGCTCAGCTGAAATTTCATCACCTCTACTAGCTTTGTTCATAGTGATGCTTCCTAAGGCCCACTTGACTTTGCACTCCAAGGTGTCTGGCTCTAGGTGAATGATCACACCAGCATTGTTATCTGGGTCATGAAGATCTTTTTTGTATAGTTCTTCTGTATTCTTGCCACCTCTTCTTAATATCTTCTGCTTCTGTTAGGTTCATACCATTTCTGTCCTTTATTGTGCCCATCTTAGTAGGAAATGTTCCCTTGGTATCTCTAGTTTTCTTGAAGAGATCTCTAGTCTTTCCCATTCTAATATTTTCCTCTATTTCTTTGCACTGATCACTGAGGAAGGCTTTCTTATCTCTCCTTGCTATTTAGAACTCGCAGTCAGATGGGTATATCTTTCCTTTTCTCCTATGCCTTTCACTTTTCTTCTTTTCTGAGCTATTTATAAGGCCTCTTCAGACAACCATTTTGCCTTTTTGCATTTGTTTTTCTTGGGGATGGTTTTGATCACTGCCTCCTGTATAATGTCATGAACCTCCATCCAAAGTTCTTCAGGCACTGTCTATCAGACCTAATCCTTTGAATCTATTTTTCACTTCCACTGTATAATTGTAAGGGATTTGATTTAGGTCACACCCGAATGGTCTAGTGGTTTTCCCTACTTTCTTCAATTTAAGCCTGAATTTGGCAATAGAGAGTTCATGATCTGAGCCACAGTCTGGTCCTCGTCTTGTTTTTGCTGACCATATAGAGCTTCTCTATCTTTGGCTGCAAAGAATACAATCAGTCTGATTTCTGTATTGGCCATCTGGTGATGTTCATGTGTAGAGTTGTCTCTTGTGCTTTTGGAAGAGGGTGTTTGCTATGCCCAATGCATTCTCTTCACAAAACTCTGGAGTTAGGTATTTATACCCATTTATAATTTAAGAGCAGTAAGACAAGACTCTGGTATATTATTAACACTTTTTTTTATTTTTTACATTTTGAGGTTAGAGCTAAAGAAAAATATCTAGATACACATTTGGAATTACTGGGCCTGTGACAGTTACACATTTGACAGGTGTTGATGTATTGATTGCGGATTCACAAGCCAGAGTGGGACTGGTGTCATTCTGATTTTTCAGAACAGTGAACAAAGTAGTCTTCCCTAGATTTATACAGTAGTTGCATTTACAGAAAAAAATGCACTGTGTATTCAAGTGGTGCAAAAATATTTTATGTGGAAAAGAGTTGAAGTTCTAATGTAATAGAAGCATATTTTAACTGCCCTAGATGTCCAATCTGACATGAAGCCCACGCAGGACACAATCACTGTGCTGCAAAATCCTGGCCTGGTAGGACTTCCTGCAGCCTCCTCCACCCTCCACTTAAATGCCACTTCCTCCAGCCCCTTGTTGTTAGACCCAATTAAAGCATCTGTAAATTTCCAAAATACCCGCTAGGGGGCAGTACTGTTGTGGGCTGTAGTGCTAGAGTTTAACAGAAGGCTTGCCATCTTTTTTTTTTTTTTTTTGAATTAACTTTTATTGGAGTATAGTTTTTTTAAACAGGAGATTTGCCTTGATTTCTTCCTTTGTAAAATGAGGAGAGCAGTAGTTAAGGGATGGAAACAATTCATGTAAAACACTTAGTGAGGTGCCTGGCACTCAATACATGCTCCAGAATGTAAGCTAATATTACCTCCCAGTCAATCAGCAGAGATTGTTCCCCCAGGTAGATGTGGGTGAGTGAAGATAGGAATCAGGCAAGCACCACATCCCCTGCTTCCATCAGCAGTGAATTATTAAACACTTACAGTCCGCAAAAAGGAGAGCCCGGGGAGAGCTGGAGTCAGAGAAATCTTTCTGGAGGGGACAAGAATGGCTTATTGAGCCAGGGCAGCTGCAACTTGAAGGAAATATATTTATCCCATGAATAATAAATAACTCCTGGATCCTTGCTTTGAGAGTGTGGTCTTCAGATCAGAGGCATCAGCAGTGTCTGGGGGTTTGTTAGAAATCTTAGCTTGTAACCCAGACAGATTTAGAATCTGCATTTTAACAAGAATCTCAGGTGTTCAAATGCACATTATAGTTGTGATGTGATGGACTAGAGAACCAACTGAGGGACCAGAGGAAAGAACAATGATACTTTATCCTTTAAGAAAACACAGAACTTGGGTGTGTTTGTTACAGAGGGAGGGAGGGAGAGGGAGGAGGGGGAGAGAGATGATGAGTGAGTAGGGGGCAGGTTAGTCAAGATTGTGGAGGGCAGTTAGTGAGACTCTCAAAGGTGGTCGTAGAACAAGCCATCTACATCAGAATTTGTGTTATTCAAATGAAGATTCTCGGAATCTTCTGAATCTTCCAGATCTACTGAATCAGAATCTCAAATAACAAGGAGTCAGCATTTAAATAAATTTAGAAAAGAAAAAACTTCTCCAGATGAGTTAAAAATGGGGAGGGAGTTTTAAAAAATAGCCACGTTTTCACCTGTGGTATTAGAATGTCCTGCAGTAGGTGAGTCCTAAGTATTTTTGTTGGTAAACTCCCCAGGTGATTCTAATGTTTGCGAGCTATTGACAGGAATTAAATGGGAAAACCTGGAGAAAAAGTCTGGGTGGGAGGGAGTAAGAGGTGTCTGCAAACACCTGAAGGCTGTCTACCTCAGAGTGAAAGTGAAAGTCAGTCTATCCGACTCTTTGCCACCACATGGACTATAGGGTCCATGGAATTCTCCAGGCTAGAATACTGGCGTGGGTAGCGTGTCCTTTACACAAGCGGATCTTCCCGATCCAAGAATCGAACCGGTGTCTCTTGCATTGCTGCTGCTGCTAAGTCGCTTCAGTCGTGTCCGACTCTGTGCGACCCCACAGACGGCAGCCCACCAGGCTCCCCCGTCCCTGGGATTCTCCTGCATTACAGGCAGATTATTCGCCAACTGAGCCTTCAGGGAAGCCCCAGATTGAAAGTCGCTCAGTCTTGTTGACTCTTTAGTCCTCGGAATTCTCTGGGCCAGAATACTGGAGTGGGTAGCCTTTCCCTTCTCCAGGGGATCTTCCCAACCCAGGGATCAAACCCAAGTCTCCCGCACTGCGGGCAGATTCTTTACCAGCTGAGCACCAGGGAAGCCCCTCAGAAGACAGAAGCAAGACCAGTGGGTAAAATTTATTTATTTTTGTGTGTGTGTTCAAATGATCATAGCGTTTTTCTTTTTTCCCCTCCCTTGCCTCCTTTCCTAGCAAGAAGGGGCCTTTGAAATGCCTTTGTCCACCTCTTAAAGTTTGTAGTTATTGTTTAAAAAAGGTAAAGTAAATTGGCCAAGGTCAACTCAGATATTCTCAATCCAACCCAACAACAGCAACAAAATGAGCCCCTCTTCCCAGTGCCAGTGATATTTCCACTGCACGACAAAGGTATTTTAATCCCACTCGGATTTCCATCGCAGGCAAGGCGAGAATGAGAAACTGGTTACTCTTCAAAAAACAGGGTGCCCTCCCCCACAGTAGGCAGGCTTTAAATGAGGAACTGGCATTTTAGAAGACTCATTAAATCTCAAGACTGATATACATAGGAAGAGGAAAATCTAGCTTTGTGAATCTGGATACGGATAATATATTCAAGCCGAATCTGATAAATGGCCGGTCCCCCTTGGCTCCTCTCCGGGTTACACCGCGGGGCGTGGGTCCCAGTCTGCATCCACCTCGTTGGTTCGCTGCGGAGATGAGCCGGGCCGCGCGCTAGGGGTCGAGCCCCGCACGGTCAGAGGAGGGGACAGCTGGCCGCGCCAAGGAAGCCAGCGGAGGGCTTCCCGTAGGAGGGAGGCTTCGATTTGAAGCCTAAAGTTATCAGCAAGACTTGGCTACTCAGAGAGGAAATAGCTCGTGGCGGACTGGCTGGATCCACAGTCCAAGGGCAGTCTCAATGGTGGTGGTGGCGGGGGGCAGGGGGTGGGGTTTAGGGTCCAAACTTCTTCTATAGAACGCCCCGTGGTCCTAAGATACCCGGTCTCTTTAAGTTGGTGCTGGAGGATAATCGACGCTCTTAGAAGAAGACCCAATACCGGTGGGGGTGGAGGCAGGTGAATCTCGTTCTCCCGAGATGGGCGATGCGGCTGGCAGCCCAGGCGGGAGACCCTGCATAGTCTGTGAAGCCCGTGCAGCTCCAGAGAAGGTGCCACATTAGGGCGCTGACCGCTTTCCTAACCAGCGCGGGCGCAGCCTGCTCGGACAGTAAAGGAAGCGGGTCCGAGGTGATCTCCCCTGGTCACCATCCCGCGGCACGAGTGGGGCGGGTCTCCCATCACACCCTCAGCAGGCCCTGCCCGGGTTTCTGCCGGTCCCGGCTTTCCCAGTAGTCCAGCCCACACCCCCGAGCCTCCGGGCTTCAGGCCTGGCCGGATCCCTCCCTCCCCACCGGCCTCGGGGCGCGGGCTCCGGCGCCGGGGCCTCGGGGCGGGTCCCTGCCGCACGCACCTGCCCCCGGGGGCGGAGCGCGGCAGCTGCTGCTGGGCCCGAGTCTCTGCCACCGGCCACGCGAGCCGCGCGGCTCCCGCACACCCCCCGCCCCCTGCCGCCGCCGCACCTCCACTCCGCGGCGCCCGCGCGGTCGGTCCGTCCCTCCGCCCGCTCCCAGCCGCGGCGCCTCGCACTTCTGACTCGAGTCCCCGCCGCGCTCGTCGTCGCCGCCCGGACCCGCCGCCCCGCGCCATGGAGACGGCCGCGGGCAGCGAGCGCCGCAGCCCTCCGGGTCCCGCAGTCCCGCCGCTGCCCAGGGGCCACGCGCCCATGGCCACCGCCTCCGGCCCGCTGAGCTCCCCGGCGCGCGAGCCGCCGCAGCCCGAGGAGGAGCGGCAGCTGCGTATCAGCGAGAGCGGCCAGTTCAGCGACGGGCTGGAGGACCGAGGTGAGCGCGTGCCGCCGCGGGCCCCTTCCCCCGGCCCGGCCCCTTTCCCCGGCCGGGCGGGCGCGCTGAGGAGCCGCTGCTCGGGGCCCGCCTTTCCGCTGGCGGGTGGGGCCGGGCTCGGCGCCTCAGAGCGCGCTGGGGCGCGGAACTCCGACTTCCCGCGAAAGCGTGGAGAGCTGAGGGCGGCAGCCCCACCTTCCCGGGCCGGCACCGCCCGAGCCGCGGCGCCTCCGCCGGAACCCGGGAACCCGACTGCCTCCTGGGCGACCCCACCGGGGCCCGCACCCTCCTCTCGGCCAGCCTTGGCTCCTCCAGCGCCCACTGGAAAAGTTTGCTGGAGGCGTGTGTGTGTGATTTTTTTTTTCTTTCCCCCTCCGCTTTCCTAGCCGAGCGCTCCCGGTTGACTGCGGGTCGCGCTCAGTTGGAAGGGTCCTGAGCTCAGAGCATGCTCCTTCCCAAACCCCATTCGGCTCCGTGGGCTAACCAGGGAGAGCTTCCCTCTGCGGATTCAGCTTAGAGGGGCGACTGCCCCGGCGAAGGGGAGTCGGATGATCTCCGACCCTCATTTACTAGGAACCCAGTTTATCGTGGGTCGCTGCCCCGCTGTCTGCAGATGGTATAGAGGACTGGGACACTTGGATTTGGACCACCGATCCTGGGTGGATGCCGCTGGAACCTGGTGGTTCTCGGAGCGCGCCTCCCAGCCCCTTCAAAATCCTGGAAGCTGGCAAACGTCCCTATCCCAGGAGGCCAAGCCCAGCTACCCCTCCGACAGATAGCCGATTACCCCTTTGAATTGCCCACAGAAAACGCGAGAGACTGCCCTATGCATTCCTATGTCTATCTCCTCCTCCTACATCTCTCTCTTTTCCTCCCTAGTTTCCTTTCAGCCCTCTTCTTGGCCACGTCTGTACCTTTTTTGTTTCTTGCAGAATCGAATCCAAATTGGCCCCCTCAAAAAGACTCAATGGCCCTGCTAAAACCGGTTAGTGGCCGAAACTGTATTCCGACAGCCGGCCGTTCGGTGGGGAGCGGCTCGTTGCCACTTCCACCCCCTGTTCTTGGAAGCCTTATTTTGTTGGCTGTGGCGGATTTGTATATTTCAGTCTTAGCAGGTTTCTGTCTATTCTCGGTATCTCCTGTACATTTTTATTCCGGTTTAGTGTTCGGAGGCACGATCTCGTTCTTTTTAGAAATTTTAAACTGTAGCATGTGAAAAACAGAATGACATGGAAACGGCAATTCCCAGAGAATCGGCAGGGATGCTGGGGCGAGAACTGGAGCCGCTCCGGTTGCAACGAGTTCCGCACCTATGTTGCAGTTTCTCCTCCTATTCTCACCTAACTCGATTATCATTTTCGAGCTGATAATGGGTGACATCACAAGCACCCAACAAAACCTATCATTTTTATTGTAGATCGTGTTAATTACCTTTCTCTCTGCAACTGATGTTGTAGGATTAAAAATTTTTGTATTGAACAAAGACCGAACTCTGGGATGGGCTTATTTTTGTAGCATTGCAGGTCATCTGTATCAAGCTGGCCTATTTCTCCCTGTCTCACAAAAGGATAGGAGGGGAAAAACGTGCTAGGGCGAGTTAATATTTAGTGTCATTTTGTAGCTTGGGCTCAAGCGTAAAAAGCCCTTCTGAATTCATTCTTAAGGTTATTTTTCACTGGTCAACTGAATTTCATTTTCCATTATGTTATTGCATGAAAGCATTCACTGTTCATTAACTGTCACTGTGTAAAAACGCTGCGTGTCACACACTGCCAGTCTGTTAAGATGAGTCCTGTCCTCCAAAGAACCTGGCATGGTGTGGCCTTGAAAGCCGAAAGTCAGTGTGACATTCTTCTGTTTGACCCGTTCCTGGCAGCCAAGAGTTAACGCTGAATGATTCGTTTCTATTAAATAAATCAGAAGCTTATCTAGGGAGGTTTCTTAAAATATTTTGCGTTTGTGTTATTTTTTTCTTATGGGGCTGCATCTTTTCAATATCGATTTTTTTGTATCCCTTGGGAATGGTTCGATTGCTACTACTGGTACATTTTTCCTAATAGAGGCTTTGGGGAGGAGGAGGCCTAGGCTGCTGCCTGCTGTGTATCTCTATATCATGCCTGGCTTGCTTGTCTTCTAAACCTAAATACCTACCTATAGGTGTGTGGGAGGGTGGACACCTGGATCTGTACCCATATCTGACCTTCTCTCTTGACATAAATTCCTTCTGAGCTGTCAGGACCCTGTTAACAGTCTCAATCTAACTTTGATCAAAGGCTTGCTTATAAAAATCTACTGTTGGGGAACTTTAGAGGTTTTTTTTCCCCCCCATAGAAGTGGTGTGGGCTAGTTCCCAGAGACCTAGCTAGCTCATACTGTCAGTAACTGCAGTGCCATTTGGTTGAGCCTCGTAGTTCAGGGGGCAAGAGCTTTGTGGTCCAAGACTGACTAAAACAAACAAAACGTAGGCCAAGTTTGTCTTAGGCATTTCCACACCCTCCCTTTCAATGCCCACTCTTCTCCCCACAAGTGTTTCCCATCATTCTGCCCCAAGGCTTAGGGCCCTAAGAGTGTTACCTGCTTCAGCATTTTCTACTGCCTTCCTATCTCACGAATATTCCCCTTCTTTCTGAGGGTCCAAGCATGACCAGTTCTTAGGAGAAAGCAATGGGAGCTAATTCATACTAGCATGGAAATGACTGATGGCTTCAACCTCCCTGTGTATATTTGCATCTCCCCAACCCCAATGTCAGTCCTTCATTAATACAACCCTTATGTTTACTATTGCCAGGGTCCAAATTACAAATAGGTGAAATTTGAGTGAGATTAACAATTTGAATGTGGAGGCCAACTAAAGGCCTCTTGTAGGAGCCATGAGTGCAAATGTGAGACCTGCCTTGGCTTCTGTAGGCTATGCTACCTTTCTTCTACCTTTGAAACACAGCTTCCTGAAAATTTTAGAAATTCTCATCACATCTCTGACTTGCACGTGTGCACCCAGCTAACACAGGGTGGAGGGGGGAGGTAGAGGAACCTGTGTGCAGACAATTCATTTATGAGCCAGGTCTTCATAGATCATTATATCCCACTTCCCTTTGAGGAGTGGAGAGTTATCCATTCTAGGTTTTAGCTTTATTTTTAGGAAGGAAAACTAGTAGGAAGCAAGTGAAGGTTGGATAGGAATGGGGAAGTTTCCCCCTTCCTGGACAGTCTCCATTACATTTATTCCGGTGTTTAAAGTTGGAAACATCTCATGGGGAAGCACATACAGGGTCAGATCTGGGGAGAACTATCAATCCTGCTGACTAGGTGCGATCCTGCACCAGCTTAGCAGGGCAGTGCAGCCAGGTGAGCGGGCAGCCCACACTCCTCCAGAGTCCTGGCCCCCTCAGGGGTGAGGTGTGTTGATTGGCCGTGCAGTCAGCTCCAGTCACATTGTTGGAAGCAGCTGCCTTTGGAAGGAAAAAAAATAAATGTCATGTGTTGGAATCAGAAACCCAGATCGTGGTTGTTTCTCTTAGAAAATTAAATCTTCTAGAAGGAACCTTGTTTTTTTTTTACCCCCAGTGGATAACCTCTTGAGATTGTTGCTGTCAAAGTACCCAGCAAATGAACTGCTTACCTGAGTCAGTACTTAAAGGTTACAGCTTCACTTCTCTTGAAAATCAATCGGCCAGGATGAAAGAAAGATTTCTGTGTCATTTCGGAAAAGGGAAATAAATTATTGGGAGTCAGGGGGACCCTGAATCATATTTTAGGTTGTACCTTAAACTGGAATCAAGGGTGATTGCAGTTGAAAATTAAAATGTGTGTTTTTAGCAACTAGGGAAATAGACAAAGGGACAAAAAGAAGTAGACCAAGGGACAGTTTGAAATCATTTGTACCTGGGGCATAATGTGATAAGAGAGAAGGTTTTTCTATTTTCTGTCTAAGTGCATTTTTTAAAGGAAGCTTTGGTGAGATTTTTATAGTGAGGTGATGGAGTTTATACCTATCTTTTGCAAATTCATGTCCCTTTTGGTTGTAAATGTGTCTACAGGTTTCAGTGATTAAAAAATCTGGCTGTACACTGGACTCACTAAGCAGGCTTCATGACTTTCCCCCGTTGTTCAGGACTTGTGGTCTGAGTAGTTAATGGAACTGGGAAATTTTAACAGGGTCCTTGTTATATTTCAAACATGATGCAGTTTTCAGTAACCCAGTGTTTAATGTGGTACCCAGTCAGTCTAGTGGGAAGATGCCTTTTTACACGATGTGTAGGTGTGATTTGTTGCACGCTGTGTAGTATTTTACATGTGGGTGCTTAAACCCCGACTACCAGTTCCTTCATCATTTGGAGCAGTTGTGATAAGGCTGTTCCACTTCTAAAAAATATATAACGAGTTGTTTGGCTAGACACGGTGTCCTGTTTATGTGGAATGTGTGCTCAGTCACTCGGCTGTCTGACTCTTTGCAACCCCGTGGAGTGTAGCCTTCCAGGCTCCTCTGTCCATGGGGATTCTCCAGGCAAGAATACTGGAGTGGGGTGCCATGTCCTCCTCCAGGGGATCTTCCCAACCCAGGGATGGAGCCCAGGTATCCCACATTGCAGGCAGATTCTTTACCATCTGAGCCACCAGTGGGATGCTGGGCTGAGAATTTGGTTCTCCATGCAACTAAGAGATGCCGTATATGATCTCTTTTCAAAGGAGAAGAAAAAAATATCCATCAAGATCATACTGATGTTTTATTCTTTGACTCAAGGCCGTCGAAACTTGGGCATTGTCTCAGAGGCATCCTGAATTTCTGTTGTTGAGGACTCAGTGTCGAAAGCAGGGGAGATGAACTCAAACCTTTATTGTATGTGGCACGCCTGAGAAGTGACCCCTAGTTTTAGCAGTTTTACCCCACTTAATAGTCTGAGAAGTTTTTGACGTAAGCTTGATACAAAGGAATAGATACTATAGAGCAGAAAGAGTAGAGAAGAAAACATGGCATGTAATTTAGGCCTGGTGGCTGTTGGTTGTGGTTAAAGAGAAAGGGTCCTTCTGTTAATTGATGAGGGGAGCCACGAGGGTATTTGTATTCCATGACTCACTGCTTTGGGCAAAACCCGGTCCACCAGTGTGGACCAGGATGGTGGATCAACGCAAATTGGTGCTGCGGTTGAGGAGCCCCAAAGCCCAACCAGATGTGGGCTATTCATGCTGTTTTCTTAACAAAAGGCTTCGTTAGAATGAGCAGCACCTGCCTGAGTCAGTGAGCCAAGGGAGTTAATGCAGGAGCAGGGGCATGGCTGGGGTCATATGTCCTCAGGTCAGAGGTTGGTGGGCTGGCAGGCTCCTTTATAAAGAAGACAGCAGGCATTTCCCTGTGGGAACATGAGCCAGATACGCCTGAGCCAGCGATATTTCAAGAGATGCCCCAAAGCTTGATTTCCATGCAACTCTCCCAAAACACCTCTTGGATAACTGAATCACTTTGCTGCACCCTGAAACTAGCACAATATTATAAATCAATTATATTTCAATTAACCACTGCCCCCCCCCCCCCATCTTGGCCCGCAGGCTGTCAGTTTATAATCCTTGGATAAGAACATATAGCTGTAGTTGTGGGTTTCTTAATAAGGAGATGCCTAACTTCCTTTTTTCCTTCTATTTGTCAGGCTTACTAGAAAGCAGCACTCGGCTAAAACCTCATGAAGCCCAGAACTACAGAAAGAAGGCATTGTGGGTCTCCTGGTTCTCCATTATCGTCACACTGGCCCTGGCGGTGGCTGCCTTTAGTGAGTATTCAGGGTCTTGCTGATAGATGTATTTTACGGGTGTTGCCGGTTTTATTCTCTGACTCCTATGGGATGCGCTTTTGCTTTTAGTTGACTATTATTGATGAGTAAATTTTTTTTTTATGGTTACATAGTCAGATGCTTATAAATTAGTAAAAAGGCTTCTCTCTTCTGCAGAGGCAAGAGGTAGTTAAGAAGAAGACTGGGAGTCTAGGCTCTCATCAGTATGCGGGTTCATGGCAGTCAATTCTGGCTGCCAGCTGAAATAGTGAAAATATTCTCTTGGTGGATGCCTTCAGCCTGGGCTGACATGTGACAAAAAATATATATCCTTGTGACTCGTATTTTGAACCTCATGCTACCAGATGAGTGTAATGTTGTAGTACGACCTCTCCTCCCCACCCCCACCCCTGAATTATATTTGCCTGAGGTTTAGAATAAAATCATCTGAACATTTTAATGAAACAAAAATGGGAGGATCCCCTTGCAAGTTTTCAGTGGCCTTGGAAACCAAAATACTTATCATAGTCGAGAAGAACGAAGAAAACGGAACGCTTTCTGCCCATGGATAATCCAGTTTCCCTGTTAGGAAGCCCCATGACATGCGTTTTCTCTGCTAACATTTGCAGCCTATAGAAATGTGCATGTGCTGTTTATTCTTATTAACGTGCAGTGATTCATAAGCTTAAGCAGTGACATTCAGCTTCAGCTCAACCTTGCTGGAATCCACAGTGTTTTTTTCTTTTTAATGCTAGGAAAAAGAATGTATTATATGCATTTTGTGATTAATTTATGGCCTTAACAGATTTATATTCTAAGTGATGAGTGTCATACAAGGTGCCTCATGTGACAAGCGTGGAGTAGAAGGAAGGACTGTGTCTGCTGGAATATACTACCCTGTGTGTTTTAAAAATTCCATTCTGCACAGTTACAGCAGCTGCTAGGAAATTGGTGTTGGCTCCCATGGGGGAATATTAGAATTTGACCAAGTGTTCCCTGCAAAACTCAGTGTATGTTCCTTGAAGCAATATCTATTGGAAACACTGTACCACATCTTGGCTTTTTTTTTTGCCACATATTTAGCAGCCAAGGATAATTTCAGGGTAGAAGCATTTACTAGTGAGCCAGAAATCTGATCAAGAGGAATTCTGATCCCTGAAAATAGCTACTCCTTCCTTTTTCTTAAAAAATGCTGAACCGAGTAACAGCCCTATTGACATCCCTGGAGGATAATTTGGTTGCGGTGGCTGGTGGTGGGCTCCAAATCTGACCCTGTAATTTACATATGTAAAGAAAGAGGAATGGCAGGAAGGGAGGTGATTTACAAACAGAATAATAGTTACTCTGACTGATAGAGCTGTTATGACTTTATAATGTGAGTATTTGAATGAGGACCTGAATGTGGAGAAATATTGAGCAAGTCTTTCCTTTGGGAGAAGAATCCTACATTTGATGTGCTTAATCAGAATAAGAAAAAAATTAGGAAATTTTGGTTTCGCATATTATGCCTGTTTAGTTAGGTTATCTTAAAAATTTTTTTCCATTTCTTATAATAGGAAAAGACTGTTGCATAATGCATGTGGAATTATAATATTGCTTTGTGAAAAGGGTTCTGTTTCTCTTTAAAATGACTTTACCCCCTTTTTATAGCAAGTAATTTAACTCTTTTAACTTCTTGCCTATAAAATGTTGGCATTGGGGTATACATGGCATCATGATTTTTGTTGCTTTCTGTGGTACATTTAATTTGTTCCCAAGTTGCTTTCAACTTGTTCTGGTACAGTTAAATCAAAAAATGTAAAAGTTAAACTATATATTTTCTCATTTTAACTAGAGTAACTTTAATGTGTGTGCACATGTATGTGTTTTATATTTTAGACCCTCGAGGTGGTCTGTGGTTGCATTGTTAGTGTTGTTGGTTTTATCTTTAGTTTCCTAAATCTATTTGTAATATGAAATATTAAAAACTTTTAAAACATCACTTGCATGTTGATAGACTTTCGCTCAATCCTTTTCACAGTTTTGAAGGGGAAGAAAATCAATAGAGATTAAGCAATATAAGCTGATTTTTGAAGCTGTTTAAATTAGTATTTAAAGGAAAATGGTATGTTTCAGAAAGCACAGTTAATGTATTTTTAAAAAAGCCTCAGAAGGAGCCCCCAGTATTCTCCAAGGAGGTGGTTGACAGAGAGCTGGGATAAAATGGAATAGGCTGGCTTGGTGAACTGCTGTTGTATCCAGTGAAATGGTCAGGTTGAACTAGTTAACATTTTAAAGAGAATTGCTATGGAATGCAGTGCTTTGAGATGGCAGAGAAGTGTTTGGAGTGTGTGCCTGTGTGTGTGGTGTGTGTGAGTGTGGTGTGTGTGTTGCCAGGAGGTGATAGTCATGGTGAAAAGTAGAAGACAGTGTTTATTGTCATGTCTTCTTGCTACTACTGGATGGTAAACTCTTCGGGGCAGGATGAACATCCATTTTTACTTGGAAATCAGTACTCAAGATTGTTGAATGAATGAACTGAGAAACATTTTCTGAAAAGCAATTTTTTTTTTAAGTTGGGAGAAGCAAAAGATTTCTTAGAAATAAATTTCATCTAAAGATTTGTTTAGATACCAGATTTCAGTTCAGTCGCTCAGTCGTGTCTGACTCTTTGCGACCCCATGAATTGCAGCACGCCAGGCCTCCCTGTCCATCACCAACTCCCGGAGTTTACTCAAACTCATGTCCATCGAGTTGGTGATGCCATCCAGTTATCTCATCCTCTGTCATCCCCTTCTCCTCCTGCCTCCAATCCCTCCCAGCATCAGGGTCTTTTCCAACGAGTCAACTCTTCACATGAGGTGGCCAAAGTATTGGAGTTTCAGCTTCAGCATCAGTCCTTCCAATGAACACCCAGGTCTGATCTCCTTTAGGAAGGACTGGTTGGATCTCCTTGCAGTCCAAGGGACTCTCAAGAGTCTTCTCCAATACCAAAGTTCAAAAGCATCAATTCTTCGGTGCTCAGCTTTCTTCACAGTCCAGCTCTCACATCCATACATGACCACTGGAAAAACCATAGCCTTAACTAGATGGACCTTTGTTGGCAAAGTAATGTCTCTGCTTTTTAATATGCTATCTAGGTTGGTCATAACTTTCCTTCCAAGGAGTAAGCATCTGTTAATTTCATGGCTGCTATCACCATCTGCAGTTATTTTGGAGCCCCCAAAAATAAAGTCTGACACTGCTTCTACTGTTTCCCCATCTATTTCCCATGAAGTGATGGGACCAGATGCCATGATCTTAGTTTTCTGAATGTTGAGCTTTAAGTCAACTTTTTCACTCTCTTCTTTCACTTTCATCAAGAGGCTTTTTAGTTCCTCTTCACTTTCTGCCATAAGGGTGGTGTCATCTGCATATCTGAGGTTATTAATATTTCTCCCAGCAATCTTGATTCCAGCTTGTGCTTCTTCCAGCCCAGCGTTTCTCATGATGTACTCTGCATATAAGTTAAATAAGCAGGGTGATACCAGATTTAGGTCTTATTTATTTTATAAACAATTGAAATCTACTTAAGACAATTGGATAATCCTAAGGCCATTCTCTTACTAAGGGCCTGTCTCGGAGCTCTATGGCTGGTTCAGTTAGAAACCCATCTTTATCTCCTCACCTGCCATTTCCTCTTTAATAGTTCATGCTGATTTTTAGCTGAGCATCCTCTGGAGAAATGCTGTTGTCTCTTTTGTGTTTGGAAATGAGGCTGATGGATATATGTAAGTTTTGGGGATACCTCTTTTTTCAGGACTGGAAAGATTCATATTTTTACATAGTGTGTACATTTGCAAATAAAGATTATTATCCTTTACTTCCAGCTTCCAAGTAATCAGGTATGCTTTATTTTCACAAATTAGTAGTTTCTAAAAGACCTAATGATAAAAATAGCTTTGTTTAGTATTACTGAGTGATCGTGATAAATCACTTAAACCTGTAAGTATGGATGACATACAGGATGTCTGACATACAATGGATGATGTACATGGATGTCTGGTATAGTCTGAAAAATTAGGTGAGTTTTCAAAGTTTGTGACTTGAAAGTATTTTGAGAGGAATATGTGCTTTGAAAGGGAAATGAACTCTTTTTGGGAATCCTTGGTAATGTAGTGATTTTTGGACCTGCTCAAATGCTGATATAAAACCAGATGGTAATACATCTTGAATATTTCAGAGAGAGCTTTAGTTTGGCTTTAAAATTACTTTTGTTTATAATCGGTAGGCAGCATGGAAAATGGCAATCCTGTTATGAACAAACCTTAAAAAAATCTGTTTTAATAATGAGGTTAGAAAGAGAACAGAAGTTCTGTTTCACAATTCAGGGTTTTGACATCATTGCTGTCTTTGTTAGAATGATTTAGGAAAGTGCATTCTGACTCTGAGGTTTGAATGAGTGTGAGTTAATTTTTAGGCACTCAATACATGTTCTGTGGGAAGTGAAGATATATTTGAAACATTCTCAGGGGAAAACCTTTCCTAAGATACACAGTTCCACTTTGAAAAAAAATCCAAACCAAGATCTTCCCAGAAAAAGTTCTCTCAAAAATTTTGTGAATTAGTAGATTTAAGAATTGGAAAATTTTCTGAAAGGAATGATTTTTATACTTGCGGGTTTTAAAATAAAGTATCTGATTGTTGTATAAACTGTTGACCCTTAAAAATGGTAGAATAAGTGTACTTATTCTTTTTAGTTTGTGAGTTCAAGAGTTGAGTGGAGTCTGCAATGGCACCCCACTCTAGTATTCCTGCCTGGACAATCCCATGGATGGAGGAGCCTGGTGGGCTGCAGTCCATAGGGTTACTAAGAGTCAGACACGACTGAGCGACTTCACTTTCACTTTCTCTTTCATGCATTGGAGAAGGAAATGACAACCCACTCCAGAATTCTTGCCTGGAGAATCCCAAGGACCGGGGAGCCTGGTGGGCTGCCGTCTATGGGGTCGCACAGAGTTGGACATGACTGAAGCGATTTA